TTTCCAGACAGCAAAATTCCCTCCTTTCCAAGAGGTGATATTTATTTCTGAGCTGTCAGGAAACGGTCAGGCTCCGCACCCCACACAGACCCAGAGAGAGGGGAGTGTCTTTTTCCAAACTGCCCATTGCTCCTCTGTGCTGAGACTTCCCGAGTGTACTTGTAGCTGATTCAGTCACCTGGTTTCTCCAGGACTGAAGGCACCTTTTCGATGAAGGGCAACAGGAAAAGTAGTGGTTTGGATCCCTTGCATTTACTAAGTAGTGTTACTGCCTTAAATCATCCCTGCCCTCTCTGAAACTGTGTGACCTTGAGTCAGGGAACTGTTCAGTTGGGCTGAAAAGTAATGTTTGATTTGAATGGCCTGATCTGTTTTATTTTGCATCTCCACAAATAATTGTGCCGAGGTAAGTGAAGAGGATATCCTGGGAAAGCGACTAAGTAGCACTGTTCCAGCCTGTGAAATCCCTGCCTCAGTGTCATTTGAGTCTTATTTTTTAACTGGGTACCTGTAGAGGTGGTTGAAATGTATTCTCTGAAACAGCTTATCCTGTGGAAAAAATACAGTTTCATTAAGATTGAAATGTTGCATAAGAACGTGTCTCCTTCTGGTTTCCAACTAATCTTTTTCTTTGTGCTGGTAAAACATGCATGTTCTGATAAGTTAGCATCTTGTTTTAATTTTTTTATTGTATTATTAGAGTTCAAAACAGGGTGTTTTGGTAGTTCCAAATGTCTTTTTTTAGAAAGTTTGTTGCATAACAAACAAGCTGCAAAACCCATCCTCAGACCAGAATTGGTTCTTTGCAGCTGAGGAGATAAGCTCTGTCCAAAGCTAGCTCCTTCTGCTGATCATCCCCTTCTGGATGCCCAGTGCATGCCAGAGTGGCTGAACCTACGCTGCTTGCTCTTGGGATCTGGCCCTAAGAAAGGGAAGCCAATCTCACTGCCCTCCCAGCCCCGATCAAACAAAATGCCTACAAAAGCTGCTGCATTGTGCTGATTACAGCCTGTCTCCTGTATTCTTATCAGCAATTTTAGGCTGCAACAAGGAGATGTTTTCCCTCTAGAAAGAAATGGTTCCTTCAGTGTGGGGAAAGGCTGCTAATCCTATTGCCATCTTGTACTCTGTTTCCCTGAATGTTCTTCCTCTTTATCTAGGCACTGTAGTGTGAAATTTCCTAGCCTTGTTCACAAATGGGCCAGACGAAACAGCTCTGTAGTGGGGATCCTTTCATCTGCTGCCTGACCTAGCTGGTTGTTAGTTTCTCTTGGCATGGAGTCCTTGTTTCCCCTGTGCACATGGCCCCCGTCTCTTACGCATTGGCTCAGGCTGAGGCTGCCAAGAGGAACCACCGTGCTCCAAGCCGTTTCAGAAAAGCCACCGTGGAGACCTTGGAAAGGCATTTAGGTCTCCACTCAGCAGTAGGTTCCCACACTGCTTCCATAGGGTGGAGGAAGTCCCGACCCCCAAAGCCCAACCCAAAACAAACCTCTTAGGAGAAACAAGAAATGTTTAACCCTTTGAAGCATCATCTCTCCAGAGAGTTTGCAGCCTCAGTAGTGGCTTTACAGTAGAATAGAATTTTTTTTTTTTAAAGCAGCTTTTACATACATTTGCTACAGAGAAGAGCATGTGACTTGAACTTGTTTGAATAATTAGCAGTCGAAGATCAAACTGCCATTGCAACAGTTTATCAGTGCCTTGCAAGACTCAAAGACATATTTGATTAAGTAGCTTGTAAATTTTCTGTTCCAGTGCCTTATCAGGTACGTTTTATTTGGATAACAATAGCTAAGGCAATTGTTAAACAGCTGAGCAATTTTCTTTATCTAAGCAAGGACCATACAAATTTGCAAGTGCTTCTGACTGCAGCTCCTCTGGATTAGCCGCAGTGAGGTCATTGCCTTTGGTAGGGCATAGCACAGTTTTAAGAAGTTTGTACTATCTCATCTGGAAGCTAACCCTCTGCAGCTATGATCAAGCTGGTGTGTGTATTTGGGCCTTGTACTGCTTCACAGGAGGCACTAAAGCCCTTCAGAGCTTAGATTTCTTATTGATCAGCTACCCTAACATCTGAATGCATGTTCAGACAGGTACCTGCGTGTCATGACTTCTCTTGACTAAAGAGACAGCTTGGCGCAACTGTGTTTTAAATGTGAGACTGTGCTGGTCCCTAAAGTTGGACAGGCTGAATCAGTTTGATCTTTTTTTCAAATGCAAATTGGGTGAGTTTGCTAAGCCATCACTGAAAGCATTTAGGCAGATCCATTTTACTTTCCTCCACAATACAGATAAACTACCTATAACCCCTGGTACTACATTGCAGCATCTTCTGTTATGTGCTATCTTGGCTGCTTGCTGTATTTGCTTGTGCTTTTGTAGCTACAGGCAGCAGCATTTCCACACCTTGGTGTTCAGCCTCAGGAGCACCCCTTGTGCTGATTCAACTTCCTCCTGTCACCCTGTTTCTTCCCATCCTGGTGTGCCTGTATTCATGCCTCCTGCAATCTCTACTTGTCAGTTATTTGTGGGCTCAGAGTCTCCTAATGCTCCCCGGAGAACAGCGGTGCAGGGTGAGTCAGTGAGCCAGCCTTTCAGGCTTCCCTGTGAGGGGGGAACTGCTGGAACTGTGTGGGAGGCTGTTGAGGCTGCTCTCAACAAACCGTTGGTCTGCAGATGATGGTGGAGTCAGTCAGTGTGGCCATACTCAGTGACCAGTCCTTTGTTTTCTTCTAATTATTACCAAGGTTGGTCAGGTGAGGCTCACCCATGTCTCAAACACAGGCGGAAATACTGGAAAAGATTGTTGGAGTATTCAGCAATTCTCTTGTCCAGTTTTACAGAAGGAACATCTTGGCATTGAGGGTCTGACTTCCCTCTGCTTGGTCAATGAGAGATTTGTGTCAGAAGGCAAACCTGGAAGACTGCTAAGCTAAGCTTGTAAAGAAAAAGCTTTTGGGACTCATGGAGATTTGCCCTCCTTGTGACCCAATTCTGGTTCACATTTGCCACTCAAAAGCCGTTTCTGAAAACCGCGTCAAGTCGATGTGCTAACGGTGCACCCTCTGTTACAGAGCTACCGTCCACATCTCCTTGTGCTAGGCTGAAGTTTAACCACAAACTGGCAGAACTTTAATTTGTTTCCCCACCAGAAGATGCAATTTTCTATCTACCTCCGTCCTGTTCGCTTTACTCTCCAGATACTTTTCCACATTCTCCTCCCAGTGCCAGCTGATATCCTGTCTTCATATATTTGCTGGATTGTCGTTACTTTTCATTCATTGCAGGCCAGCTTCTATTCTTGTTAATACTTGAAATCAGCAGCCCAAGCAATCTTTAAATCTGGCCCACGCGTCTGGGAGGCATCCCTGCCAGCATACATATTTCCAGAAACAAAGCTTGCATTGCTTTAGGTTTAAATTCGGGGTTGGCTTGCTTGAATGATTTCCAAATAGAACATTAAGGGAAGAGAAAAAGTGCAAGCAACTTGAGCTGATGTTAAACAGAACAACCTCTGGGAAGCATTTTGCTTTACAGAAAAGGATGAGAATGCTGTTATTGCCAAGGCTTCCTAGCTCTTTTGGAAAGGGGAAGAAAGTTTCTTTTATTTAGCTATTCAAAATGCAAAATGCTTGACAACCTTCTTGTAGCATTTCCTTCCCCAAGGGTGGCTGAAAAGAGGGATGCTTCACCTTGCTGATTCAGAATGAAGAAAGTGTACTTTGCAGTGCTCTTGATCCTGATTTAATAACTTGCAGCGTGTGGAAGTGTCAGAGGAAGCATTTGGGGCTGCTGACGGTGTCGCAAAATGGTACTGCAGCACTGGTGGCACAGTGCCGCAGGTTGTGGGGCTTGGAGAGTCGGTGGCCAATGGGCTTCTAGGCATCTCTCTCTGATGATCTTTGTTCCCTCCTCATTAGGCAGACATCACAAAATGCGTGGTGAATACTGACCCCAGCCTTCGCTCCCACTGGCTCGTGGCCGCTGTTTGCAGCTTTGGTCATTTCCTCAAGGCTGTCTTCTTCGTCCTGCTTCCTGAGAGATGAATCCGATCACCAAATGCAGCCCCCTACCCCATCTCCTCCCCCACTCCAGAAGCAGTGGTAACAGCAGTCTCTGAAGAGGAGGAAGAGAAGAACCGGGAAGAACAAAATGCTTGTTCTCCTCTCCCTTCAGCTGGGAGCAGATGATCAGCCACAGTCTACTTTTTGCGGCCACAGGAGTCTCTCTCACTATTAATCCTTTTGAGAGTCTTGTTTCCCTGGGTGACTTTTGTGTGTGGTCTGGACATCGCCAGTCCCTGGGCACGCTGGCTGCAGTGTGGACTGTCAGATGTCTGTTCCTTACGGCTATGTTGCATGCTTATGCTAGTGGCAAGCAGAGGGGAGGAGGGAGTAGGATGTTATTGGAAATGGGATAGAAAATAGAAGAGGGGGAGAGTCCCTCCTTCACTCCATGTGATTCCCCTTTCAGTCCTCAGACTTGCCTCGCGTCGGTTCTTGTTACCTTTGTGCTTCATCTCCATCTCCTCCTTTATTCCCAACCTTGACTTGCTGGGCTCTGCCCCCAGCACAGCATGGTGGAGGGGATGATGCAGCTGTGGGTTTTTAACGTGGTGTCTTGGTTTGAAAAGACAGGTGTCT